ATCGTTTGGTGGTCACGAATATCGTCATTAAAACGTTTGGTGGTCAACCGTTTTCCCAGAAAAAAAGAAAAACCGTATGCTCACGCCATTGGTCGTATGACTCTGTGCTATTAGTCAGAAAAATTGTATTTGTCACCCAAATTGACTTTGATAGGTGTCTGCTAGATGTCTGCTGAAAAGCGGCAGGAGCCAATACAAAAATAGGAAGAAGAAGAAAGAGGTGCGTTGCCGCTGCAACGACGAGGCCGTCCACGAAACGTCGACGAGGGTACAACTATAATCGCACCTCCACGCCTGAGATATTTACCCGTAATAAATTTAGGTTGTGTGTGTGCGTATGCGTGGCGTGTGCGTGTGCGTGCGTGTTCATATGCGTGGCATGTGCGAGGCGTGTGCGAAGCGTGTGCCTGCGTGTGCGTGTACGTATGCGTGTGCGTGTGCGTGCGTGCGTGTGCGAGCGTGCATGCGTGTGTGTGTGTGAACAGGAAGGATTGATTCGCACGCATAAAGCCCCTTGCACAATGCCAGGCAACAAGCAATAGGATCTAGAAATAACAAAAAAATGGTTAATTATAACCTTAAAAATTTGTTGACAACGGGCAATAGGCACAGAATTTCCAACGTGACGGAAACTCTGTGTCTATTGCCTGTGTCACTGTTTATTTTACATTTATACATGATTTCTGATTTCTATTCCCTGTTCCTATTGCCTGTTGCCTGGCATTGTGCAAGGGATTTTATCCTTTAACAAACCTACGAGTTTGTTAAGCTCGAGTTCGTCGCTGGCCGGTATTCATAATCAGAACATATTTCAAGACCGTCTTAAGTAATCTCTTAACTTAAAACGTTAATACGGCTTTGTGATTAGTTAATGACATCTTAAGATTGTACTTAAGACGGGTCTTAAATATAAGAACCGACAATGAATACCGGCCGCTGCGGACACACAGCATACCACACACTCATTAACATACATTTCTGATTTTGTTTTCCAGATTTTATATTTGATTAGTGCGTCATCCGATATTTATACTCTTGAAGTGAACGTGTATCTCGAGCCCATTTAGGGCATCAAGGTTAATAATAAGAGGAAGTTAAAAATAAGGAGAAATAGTATGGCTGACCTTCCAGTAAGTACACATTTTTACTTTTTTTATTACGTTCTTTTTATTGTATTATATCAAAGTTAAAAGCTTCTTTATTGCATAAAAAAATGTAAAAATGTAAATTTTTTACATTTGCTCAGATTTTTTTTTGTAAAAAAAAAAAAACAATGCAAAAATTATTCTTTTTTTTCTAATTCATTTTTTATTATTTTCTCATATAAAAATTATCTAATTCATCATTATCATCATCATTCATCATCATCATCATCTAATTCTATTATCTTTTTCGGTCTGTTCTACCTCTATTTCATATATAATTTTTCTTGTACTTGATTTTTTTTCAGATGCAGAGTCAATGTTATAAGCGTAGGCTGCGCAGAAAAATAGAAAAAGAGAAACAGAAAAGAATTAGACTCAGTGAAGTAAAGAGAATATAGTGACACAAGTTCAGAAATCATTCGGAGAGGGGTCAAAGAGTCAAGTGAATCAGATGAAAACTTAAATGAAAACTTAGATGAGTTATTAGAACCTGAGATATTTTGTAAACAAAATCAGGAAACCGTGATTGCTTTCAATATATTTCCATGCGACAGAATTGAACATGCAAGAGAATCTCACGACTTTGAGTATGAAATGAATAATGATAGGTTTGTTGCTGATTTTTTGATGTTGCATGGCGCTCTTACTATCCTTTCCAGTCTCATGCTTGTTCAGTCAGAGATCATGTGTCATTATTCTAATGATTTGCTACGAGCATTTATTAATCATTCTATTGTAATTTATGGTAAAACGTTTGTAGTGTATAATGTGCATTCACTTTCTCATTTAACTCAGGAATGTTTGTCTCATGGAGCATTGGATAAATTTAGTGCCTTTCCTTTTGAGAATTATTTAAAATCTCTCAAGAGTTTACTTAAATCAGGTTACAAACCTTTATAGCAAGCTGCGCGTCGTGATCTAGAAAGAACAGTATCAGTGTCAGTGCATCTTCCAACTAATGATAAAGAAGTTACTTTGTCACGTAGGCATTATTGTGATGGCGAGATCATTGATGGTTTTTATTTTCGAAGTATTTCTATTGGTAATGTTGTTTTACAGGTTGGTCAGAGAAACTCTTGTTTTATGACAATTGACGGAAATATATTTGTATTGTTAAATGTTGTGAAAAGACGAGAAGATATACACCTAATTACAAACAAGTTTAACAAAAAAGAAGATTTTTATACATATCCTTTTCCTTCATCTCTTGTTCGTATTTTTAAAGTGTCAAATCTGGGTGACCAAAGAATTGTACTGCCATTGACAAATATTCAATCAAAATGTTGGTTAATACCCTACAAAAAATTTTTTGTTTCTATTCCTTTTTTGCATTCTATGCCTATGTTTTAATTTTTTATATTTTTCTTTATATTTGTATTTCAGTTTGTCGTTTTAAAATTTTTACCTGACGATGTCAACAATGATAATATTTGCTACGATATCGGCCTTACAAAGTGGTTGATTGAAGTGAATGAAGATATGGAAGGTCAGACATATTGGCCACCGCGTAATGTTGAAGCTGGAAGCTTGGTCCGTAAAGAAGTAAATGCAGACGAAACTTGGCCCAAATATCGTGTACATGTTAAGAGATATCACGGTATGTTTGTTTTTATTTATTCGAATTTTTCTCCTTTCTCCAAATTTGAAAAGGTTTAAGTTGAAAAATATTTTTACTTTTTTTCCAGATTTAAATACTCAGTTATTTAAGATAGACAGGAAATTGGAGAACTTAAGTTGCAAAATAAATACAGTTATAACGAATCAAGGAAAACTATACAGATGTTTGCTTCCTCAGGAAAAGAAAATACTGGAACCACATAACATGCCTTCTTTGCCTTTTCGTAACGAATTTTAGTGTGATTATCTTACCTCTTTTGGATCTGCTAGTGATGAAAGAAAAACTGCTACCATAATTATGCAAAAACTTATGTATAATTCTTTGGCCAAAAATTATAATTTTGATGGCCATGGTGAGAAAAGAGGTTTAAAAACACTGCAACTGTGGACAGTTATTGAAGGTAAGATCCTAATGTCTTGTTAGTTTGCTCTCTAGTTAATATTGTCTTGTTATCTTTTTTGCAAATTTGGAATACTTTATATACCAACAAACTCTGAAATAATAATCCTATAATTTTGATATACATTATACTTACTGTACTGAATTAGTGTACTAAATTACTGTACACTACTGTGTTTATATCCTTGTTGCGGATATATTCTTTAATTTATTTTTGTTGTTTAACTTAATATGGATGTCTTATCCTTTAATAATTTAATTATTTCTTGTTTTGCAGGGTCTTTGTCACTTAAATTTCCGGACAGCGACCTTGATACAGCACTTAAAACCATAAAGTCATGGTTACAAAATGCTAGCGGTAGGAAACAAGAGGAATATATTGGCTTTGATAGCCATTAGAAAAACATTTCTCTCTTTTGTTGCGGAGATCTCAGAGAGTCGGCGAGTCTCGAAGGCGAAACTTCTGCGCAAAGTGGTAGACGAAATCCACCGTGATCCGCAACACCTTATGCTGACGACGGATTATATTCTCATTGTATTCGCCGTTCCCTTCGATCATGCCTGTGACAGGATTGCTAAACCACTCTTTAAATTCGCGATGAGACTGGAAAACGTTAGGCATAAGAAAGTGCATGAGCGACCACAGTTCCATTAAATTATTCTTGATATTTTGCGCCTCGTCTAAGATAAGATATTTTTATTTTTTCCGTGTAAAGCTTTGGTAATCCTGTATTACTAACTTTAGCTAATAAGTAGCTGCTAATTGGCTGTTATTAATTTATTACCTTCCTACTTTAGCGTAAATGTTAAACGGGTTGTTTCTTGTCGCTCTTCTCAAGTTGTGAGAATAAGTAAGAAAAAATTGTGTTGCTAGATTTTTATAGCTCCCTTTTTTTTTATATATATAGAATTGAGACACAGAGTTTGATAAGTACAATTGTCTATGTATGCAGGCGAACACAGGTGCAAGTTTCCGTAGTAATAATTTATGTTCTGCGAAAAATATTTATTTATAATGATTGCACAAAAAATAGATCAAGCATCACGATGTTTAATTTGTTCATTTTTTTAAATACTAGTGTGTATATAAGAAAGTCTCCTTTTTTTTTCTTTAATAAATATGATATGTGCCGAAACTGAAACAGGAATTGTCGCGTGAAAAAATATGTATACATCATCGATATAACGTGTTGTAACATGTAACGTAAGAATATTAAACATTTGTAAGGCGTAACGCGGTTTTAATATATAGATTTTAATATATTTTAATATATTAAAGAACTTTTTTAAATTAAATGTTGTGTTCACTCTTTCTTTAACAAGACCCGACAATGTGTATTAGGTATTTTTAGGCTGGTATTTATTCCCAGCGAGAAATGATTCATCGATAACCCATCGAAACGACGTCTAATTAGACGTCGTTTCGATGGATTATCGATGGATCATTTCTCGCTGGAAAACTAAAACATCTATAACATGTCGATAAGACGTCGGTAAGACGTTGAATCCGATATCGATTAGACGTCGTCGATTAGATGTTGAAAAGACGGCCGTTTTTAGGTCTGCGTCGACCTTATTTCAGATTAGACGTAGACGCGTCTATAGACGTGCGTTTCGACGTCGGTCCGACGTCGGATAGACGCTAGCATTCCGGCTGGGGAGGTGATTCCTCGTCGGGATGAAATTTGTCGTGAAGGAAGTGGCGGTGCTAAGAAAAGGCTGCGTTCTGACGCATCACATCTTTACGTACCCCATGCCGTGGAATTTCCTCACAAATTCGGACAAATCGTGCGCTACCTGGTTGATTCGCAATTATCATGGATTACGATGGGAAGACGGAAACGTGCCGTACAGCATGGTGAAACGCCTGATTACATCGGCCGTGCTAGGTGTGGAAGAAAAAGAAGACGATGAAGAAGTTGACGATGACGACGAGATGCCGACTCTTGTGTACGTCAAGGGATGTCAGAAACGAGAATGGCTGGTGGATCTGCTGGAGAATTATGCGCGAAAATACCTAATCGTCGAGACTCTGAATGCGCATTACGATAATATCGAATCTTTGAATAAACTAGATGACACCAATACTATGCGATGCAGAAAACATGAAAAGAATTGCGCGTTACAAAATGTAATAAAATTATTTAACTGGTGGTCGCGCACGATGCCATAAAGATTTGCAATTTTTTTTTAAATAAATAAATTATATATAACTTTTTATGTTTTATTTCTTACTCCCCCTTCCCTCTCCCATCATCGCCGTTAGAGTAGGCTTTACTTCTCCCTCTCCTAAAAAATCCATTGCGCAGTTCTATAAACATTAATTCCCCCTCTCTTTTCCCCCACCCCCCCTACATTACTTTTTGGAGTTGTCGCGTATACTCGATTAATTTCATATGATCAGTCTTGTCGCGATCGCTTGTACTGACGGTCAACTTCTCAGAGCCTAGAGAGCGAAAATGTTCTCCTTTGAAGGATGCAATAGCAGCAGCAGAAGCAGCAACAACGGTGCAAAACGTGTGAATGCCATGAATTATTACGTGCCGATTCACGACGTTGAAACTTAAACGTATGAAAAGAAATGTAACAGGTAAGTTTCGTTTAGGATAAAAAAAACATCTAGAGCCTACCCCAGTTTTTATATCGTTGCAAATTGTAATATTTACGATAAATAAAACTAATTTCATTTTTTTTATACAGCATTTCGTTGGACCTTCGTATACTCAGCAGACGATACGCGCTGACAGCTACGAAATACAAATTCCTCGAAATTGGCATCAACGTGGGTCCACCGAGCTACGTGGAGAACGCCGTTGGAGATCATCGAGGAAAGGAACTGCTGTAGTCTCTCGAAACGTGAAAGACACTCTACGAGCAACGGCAAAATATTCAGAATTTCTTTCGCAATGACTTCAAAGATGCCCATTGTTTTATAAACGTGGACCATTAACTGTGAAAGTTCGTACGTCGGTTAATAACGTCAAACTCATACGTCTAGAATCTGTAAACGTACGCTTGATGATGACCGAATCGACGTTGCATCGTATGTTTGATCTCGATCGGTGCATCGATGCGAGATTCGATCGATTGGTCAGAATACTTGCGGCAGTCGATGCAAAGTTTGCGCAGTTCTCCGATATCGCGTCCACTGTGAAGAATCCCAAGGAAGCGTCGAATGTAATATACGCTAGCGATGCGTTCAATACGAATCAGCTCATCGATTGTGAGCTCGCAGCTTTAGTTTTTTAGCACGTAAGATATATTATGTAAAAGAAGAGTTAAATAAACAGGCTTTTTTTACAATTAAATAAACGATGTAATTTCTTTGCGTGCATGTCCATTCTTACCTATATTTTATCAAATGTTGTTTACGACGAACATGTTCCAACAGGTTCGATGCGTTATCGGGTCGATCATCGTCTCGATGACGTCATTTTGCTTCCTCATAGAGGGAACTTTGTTTTCGTTTAAAAAAAATTTTTTTTGTTTTTCTGAATGTGTTCAGAATGTTCTAAAACGTTAAAAAATTGCAATTTTAAAAAATGTCTGTATGTATGTATGTGTGTGTGTGTCTGTATGTGTGTGTGTGTATGTGTGTGTGTACGTGTCAAATTTACCGAAATTTCTATAAGTCCAGAACTAATCAACCAAATATTAACGAATTATATATGAAATAAAGGTAAAAAAACTGAAAAATATAATAAAAGTAATAAAAATTGCTAATAATCAAGGGGTTCTTTTTTAATAAAATTTTGAATTTTTTCAGAAATGTTTGTTTATGCTTTAATTTCCGCAAATTTAGAGATATCGATCTATTTCTAATTTTATTATATTTTTCAGTCTTTTCTACCTCTATTTCATATATAATTCTTTAAGATTTGGTTGATTAGACTTAGCTTTATACGCGATCAAAAGTCCCTAATTTTTAGAAAAATGTCTGTAATAGCTTTAACTTCTGTAAATTTTAAGATATTGGTCTATTTTTAATTTTGTTATATTCTTCAGTTTTCTCTATTTCTATTTTATATAATTCTTTAAGGTCGGTATTCATAGTCGGGTCTTATATTCAAGATCGTCTTAAGTATAGTCTTAAGGCATCATCAGCCAATCAGAGGGCTTTTTTAGCATCTTAAGACGTCACTTCCTCTATGAGGAAGCCAAGTGCAAATTTCTAATTTGCACCATTTTTTATATATATTTTCAATCAACATTTCCTAATACACTTTGAATTTTGATTCTAACTTACTGACTGGGAAATCAGTCGTCGCAGTCCTGCATAAATCTCGCGGAATCCCGCACAGGTATATTTTCGGGATTAAAAAATAGCGTGGGATCCCGCATTTTTGCGGGATTCCATTTTGCGAGATTGCAAGCACTAATATCTATCGACTCCGCTTTAAATTTGAAAAACTTTTTACGTTTTCTAGTTTTTTAATCGCCGCACCACAAAATTCCGTATCCGCACCCAGTACATCAATGCAGAGTGACGACAATTTTGGGATTGTGGAACAAAGAACGGGAATAGCTGATTACTTCGGGTAATTATCTTATTTCCTTATTGTTTATATTGCATTAATAATCCAGTTAAATTAATCGTTCATCTCTACGTGACATCGGTTTTGGGGAGCACTTTTCATTGACGTGTAGTCTTAAAAATTAATAATGCCATGAAACTATTGTGGAAGCAATAAAAGAAAAGTAGCCAAATGTTTTCCTTTGTTTTTGTACGTACTGCGTAGATAGATTGTTTAGCGAATTTGTTTAGTCTACGCGATAACACCCCCTTTTTCAAGAAAAATGTTGTTTACGACGAACATGTTCCAACAGGTTCGATGCGTCATTTTTTTCTTTGTCTCGCGTACTGCGTAGATAGATTGTTTAGTCTACGCGATAACCGCTCCCCCTTTTCCTAGAAAATAGTTGTTTACGACAAACATGTTCCGACAGGTTCGATTGTTTAGTCTACGAGATAACACCCCCTTTTTCCCAGAAAAAAATGTTGTTTACGACGAACATGTCCCGACAGGTTCGATGCGTCATCGATAAAACACGCTCCTACGTAGTGCGCTATCGAGTTAGTCTTACCCATTGTGCGCCGCCTAGCGGCGTCGTTGCGAACGAGGCCCCCGCGGCTCGACGGACCCCGCGGACCCCCCCGCGAACCCCCTCGCGACCCCGCGGACCCCCACGTGGACCCCGCGACGCGACCGCGACCGCGAACGCAGACTTCCCCTCCCGCGGACCCGCGGCGCAGACCAGCGGCGCGGGTGAATTATCCCGGTGATTCATCCCGGTGACTCATCCCGGTGAGTCATCACGGTGGTATGCCAAAGTCAACCTCCTCCCCCCTCGCGGTGTAACCTGATATCCTTGAAATCCGATACCCTTGGGTAACCCGATATCCTTGTGTAACCCGATACCCCGCCCCCTCCCCCTTCCCCTCCGCGTTATCTCTTTTTAATCTGATACCTTTGTGTAATCCGATACCCCGCCCCTTCCCCCTCCCCCTCCCCCCCCCCAAAATCTGACACCCCCCCCCCCCCCCCCCCCCCCGGAGCTAGCGGGTTAGAACACTCATAAGTTAACTACTCTTGTACGTATGGGGTTTTCACGTTCGGGTCGGCCGAAGGGGATGAGCACGGAAATTTCATTGTGCATATTTCGAGAACACATTAATCGAGAAACATTTTAAGACAATAATTATTTCTCTTTCTGTATTTTCACTGATACTTTACTCTTATATCATATAGATCTTTTTTGTGTATATCTTTTAAACTATTATAGATAGACGAATTTTGTTTGAGGCACTTGAAAGCACATAATTGTAGCATATTGAGTTTTTTATTTTATATGTAATTTTAATGAATAGGGATGCTAGCTTACATTAAGCTAACACCCTTACTTTCAATTGCAATTTCCCATAAAACTGCTCAAATATAAAAATTGTTAATAGAGCACATAAAGAGCACTTAATTTCTGCATATGTGTAATTCCGGTTTTTTGTGGGAGGGGTGCTAACTTAACAGACATGAGATGCTGACATATACATAGGGGGAATCCGGGAGAGTTGAACCACGTTTTACTTAAAGATCCATAAAATTTAGTGTAATTGATCTACAGATTTTTTTTATGTCAAAGTAAAGCTTTATTATATGTCTACGATTTGTGGATTTAATAATTTCAATACGTTTATAAACGTAAATGTTATATTAAATTAGAAAAAAAACGAGATTC